CTGAGAAATTAGGAAGGGTCTTTTCTGAGCCTCTTGCCCTGCCCAGCTGCAGACTATGCTGTCTCTTACCTGATCATTCCCTAGGCAGCGTCTTTGGGCCCAGTCTCCCAAGGTCATTCCCACATACCATTACAGGTCGCAACTTTCTTTGGATTCAGGTTTCATTGTAGTATCTCTCACAGTAACGTACATGGATGGATGGGTGGATGGATGGATAGTTGGGAGGGAGGGAGGGAGGGATCGATCCTGTATGGCAATCTTACAGGATTTTGATGGTTTCATTCTAACACACACCGAGACCTTACAAGGTCTGATACATTTTAATGAGCCACAGACTCACAAGATGTGGCAATTTTTAAAGATTTGTGATTTATTATTCTACTTGAATGTTATGAGATTGCAGGCATTGTTTTTGCACATTGGATGCAATGTTGCCAATCCAAGCAACACAATTCAAAAGAGCAGCATTTTTTTTCCCCTATAGGTTGTCCCCTATGGGAACAACAATTCTGAGGATTCCTTGCCATTATTGAATTATAGGTCCAACACATCTGGAAGGCACTAGACCTCACGTTATAGGTCCAACACTTCTGGAAGGCTAACCTAACCTCATGAGTCTTTCACTGGTTTCAGAGGCATGCAACAATAGTCAAGCAATACATCAAGATTCAGCAGAAAACATAAAATTAGCCCAGTTGGGCACTGTAAGCAATCCAAAATACAAAGTGTTGTATCACATGGCTGACTTCTTTAAACGAAAAAGAAGTGTTCTTGGTTTAGGCTCAGCTTTATGCACACTAAAAAGATGACATCTGACTAATTCTTCCATTGGCTACATTGTCAAGCAGAGAACCCAGAATGGAGTCTGCTTAGAATGATTCAAAAGTTGGGGGCCTTGTTTGAGATTCATCATCCAAAGAGGAAAAGTTGTGATGTAATCCAATGGACTTTTTTTTTTTTTGCTTTCAAAGAAGGGAGCACAGTGCTAAACACAGCATAAAGGATTCGAGTTTCAAGCCAGTTCCAAACTATAAAAAAGTAAGCGGGATTATGAAACACCTAAATGTAGTATCATTTAAATTTGCATAAAAAATATCCAAAAATTAAAGTCTCCGTACATTTAATACATCTAACACATACATCTAACACTTTAAATATTGCTGTTTGGCAACAATTTTAAGAGAGGGGGCTTCAAGGAATGCACCTTTCTTTTAAATCCTGGCCTTGTTTAAGAATTGCAACAAGTCGATTCAAATTAGTTTCATAACACATTTTAAAGGGCTCTGAACATCAAGGCAAACATTTTTTCCTGTCTGAGTACAAGGGCAAATGTGAATGGGTAGGTCAGATCTAACATAGCATAGTGGATTGGTTAATACATAAAGGAGCACATTTTTTAAACATAAAATGAAAGATGTGTTTGACATCTTTGAATCTTTGAGTTTGACATCTTTGAAATTTTATTCTTCTCTCTATTAGTAAGGAACAAATCAGTATTCTCATTTCTAGATCTTCCATGAAGTCATTTGTAAAGTTTAAAATTCACACATCCAGACATGAAAACTTAGAATTATCTTGGAAGTTTACAGTTTAGAGTAAGAAGTGGTATTGTTTTAATAGATTAGCCAAAAAGTTAGTCTTTTCAAATATAGTAGTTCTTTCGACAGAAGTCCATATATTATAAAACAAATTATTTTTGTGTAATTCTATTGTCCAAAGCTGAGCTTCCTGCAAACGTATTGGAAACAAACTTGTCACAGCTCATTTCCACAGCTGCCTCTGGACTGAGGGTTACTATCGGACTAATACTTAACACTGCTAGCCTGCAAAATTCTCTTTTAGCTCTTGGAACTATCAGAGGAGATCTTAGAAAGGATGCAAAGGGAAGCAATGCAGCTGTTTGGCTTGGCTCTTAAAGTGAGGAGATGGCATTGTTTTCTAAAGCAGCTTTGAGCCTTTGTCAAAGTAAAGCACTCCAAAAATCTGCACAGCCCTATAGTTTAAGACAGTGACCACATTTGCAGTGAAGGCAATATGTTAACATCAGTTTTAATTCTGTCAAAAGTTATAAGCAACATGGCCATAGATGGGCTTTCCCCCATTTGAATGCTCTCTAAAAATGTGGACTTCAACTCTCAGAATTCTCACCAATGCCTACATTAGTCCGAAATACTGGAGGTTGATGTCCACACATCTGGAGGACATGAAGGTTTGGGGAAGGCCGCCCTAAACATCTCTCTTGGTATAGGATTTCCTTCCTCACTTCTTTTCTAGATTCTTTTAATTAAAAGAAAACCACATGAGAAGCTGCAATGCTTCAAAGTGTCAGTTTCTGGAATCATCTTTATTTCCTCTATTGACATCCTTAGAAAATGCTTTGTATGCACTGCAATTGGTTGATAACTAAAAAAACAATGTTAAGTTAAAGTGGAGGGGGTGTTCCAGTTTATCTCACTTCTACGTTTAGCTTCCAAAATCATCCCCACAGCTATGATTTTCACTCTGTACCCAGTGCTGGGCCAACTATTATTCTCAGTCATTCTCATGATGAATTGTCACCAACGGACAAGAAACCAAGATCGGGGGAGCAGGGGGTTAAGAAACAAGCATGAGTTACTGGTATGCCATTCATGGCAAGGAAGATATCCCCCACCTCTCAGAACATAATCCAATAAAGAATGAGCCTTCTCTGCACTTACCTGGAATATCAGACAGAGACAATTGGCAAAAGAAAGTAGGAAGAGAGGAACTTCCATATAGACCCCTGCAGGAAAGTAGAAATATAACTAGAAGCACAGCAGTTAGAGTCATATATGCAATCTTTTGTACAGTCACTAACTTGTATATCAAGCCCCAAATGTCTTGCAACCACCAAGATTACTGTGCTATATCATGCCTCCATGTTTGAATTATGGCAGGGTGACACCTCACACTTGGTCCCTAATGTCAGTCCCTTAAGATTTCTCAAAGAGGGAGGCTTTAACTTCTCCAACTCCACTTGGAAAGTGACCATTACAGTCAAAACATTCAGCCCAGATTTCCTTGCACTGCTGTAGGAGGTGCTGCAGCACTACTTCATTGACACTAACCCTAGTTACACAGCTGAATTCTGCCCTCCAATATGGCAACAGAACAGCCAACTTTCAGAATTTAAACTCCCTCACTCTGCTCATTTCTACAATGAACTTACAACTTCTATTAGCAAAGAAGTGTCCTGAAAATGTGTCATCTGATACATGAGCCAATACCTTCCATCCCAGTAGATTACATTCCTGAAAATTCTTTGAAGAAAAGCCCACACTTTCTGGTTCTCCAGATGTTGCTGGATTACAATTCATTTGCAGCCATCGACCATCATGGCCAATGGTGAGGGATGCTTCAGCACCATTTAGAAGCCTTATTTATCATGCTACAGCTATTCAGGTTGATTTAAATCGAACCATTTCATGCATTACATTTTCTTGGGCCAATGATTATAGAAAAAAGAGCTGTCTATGGAATACAACATCTCTCTTAACAAGAAGTGGGTGGAAGGTATCCTAAAGATTTTATGCAAGATGCGGTATAAGCCAAGCCATGTTTAAAACATCTTTAGTTATGGTTCTCCATACCTGCTTTCCCTTTCTCTGGATTTTTGACTGAATGTTTTCCAGGATTAATAGATTTGAGCTGCAAAAATTGGGACTATCACTAGATTATAGGAAACAGCTAAGATGTGTTGATTTCTGCAGCCCAGATCTGCTACCCTAATGTTTTCTAACCTCTAATTCATCCAGACTAGTATTATGCAATCATATAATCTTTATTAATCCAGACTAGTATTCCACAATCATATAATCATTACCAAGCTTCCTAAAACTTCATTGAAGACCTATTTAATCTCATATTTATCCTCCTGCTGCCCTCTACAGTTACCCAAGCAAAGCAGCTCTTCATTTCTCAACAAGTATTGCAGATCTTTCCAAAAAGAGCTCCACAACAGGTATAATGGTTGCCCTGATTGGCTGGACGATGGAGGAGATAGATTCCTGTTCAGAAGGCATTCATTTTGCTGCGCACCATGAGGAAGTGTAGCTGTGCCATTATTTCATGATTAAAGGACTGGGACTTCAGCATCTTAAATGAAACAGCCTGCAAGTATTTGTGTGCATATTTGTTTGTGTACACAGCCCCATCAGTATAGACACACTTCACATGGTTCTGAAAGGCTGATATATGAAAACAGGAAGTCTCCGTTTCAGCTTACTGTTAATAATGAAATGTTCCCAGTGGTGATAAAGCCATCTCAGTAATTCAGACTTAGAGCAAATTTCTGAAAAGAGGGTTTGCCTTCTCCCTTTTACTTCCAAGAAATGGAAATAAAAAATCACAGACATCTTTTAAATAAGAAATATTCAAGTTTATATATACATATAAAAGATGAAAGGTCACGCTTAAGGAAAACAAGAATTGCTGCCTTTACATGATCACACAATGGGACAGTTCCTCATATTCCACAATATACGCTGGGTAAATCTGATGCTTCTCAAAGATGACAAAGACAGAAGGATTCAGAACATTGTCCACACAGCTATCATAGAAGCCATTTGATTGATTAGGTCTAGAAGGAGGGCGAACATATGAAGCTTTTCCTTGGACATAGTCTCCAACCAGAACTCTAGCTACAAACAGGGTCTTTGTTTGAATCCTCGATTGGCAGTATGCATGGGAGTAACAGGCATCTCTGGCAAAGTAGCTTCCTACAAGAAAACACATTTTAAAAAACAATACATCTTTTTTAAAAGAAAAAAGAACAGTCCTTATCCAAAATAAATTTACCCTGACTTGTTTAAGGTTCCAGATGTTACTAAACTACATCTCTCAACATCCATCATCTTTGGCTGTGCAGGCTGGGCTGCTGGATACTCAGGTTCAGCAACACTGGAGGACCGCAGTTTCTCCATCCCATTATAACAGTGTTGTCCAAACTTGGCCACTTTAAGGTGAGTGGACTTCAACTCCCAGAATTCTGCTGGCCGGGGAATTCTGGGAGTTGAAGTCCACTCATCTTAAAGTGGCCAAGTTTGGACAAAACTGCCTTTTAAAG